TATCCCTTTTCTCTGGATCGGTCATCCGAGCCCTGGTCTTTCGAGCCCAAAAGTCGTAGACGCTCGAGTTGGCCGCTTTGTCGAACATGACATCGCGATAGTTCGACAACGTCAGACCGAAACCTCCTCTGTTCCAGAGGCGCTCGAAGAGAGCAAGGCTGTCTTCATCGCTCGTGCCGTGAAAGTGGTCCGTGTTTTGATTGTACGCGATGGCTGATGATGAGCCGAACTTTGCCTTGTAGAATATGCCGTCGTAGTAGTTCTTTAACTCCTCCGACTCTCGGTACGGGAGGCTTCTCTGGCGCATGAGAATTGTGAGGCAGGGGTTCCGTACGAAGACAGTCAACTGGCAGTCCTCTTTTGCGAGTTCCTGAACCAATTGTAGACCGGATGCGCCTTGGCCTATGATACCGATATTTTTGCCCTTCAGCTGAAGGCGTTCAGGCCAAGCGGATGGATGGATGATATCCCCACGAAAGGTCTCCAGGTTCGGCAAAGAAGGGAGATAAGGCTTGCTGAAACTTCCGCAGGCAAAGATGGCGAATCTTGACGAGATGCGAAGACCTCGTTCCGTATGGAAGTTCCATCGCGCGCTGCTCGCGTCGTACTTCACATTGTCCACTCGGGCGTCAAAGATGGTGTCCACCCGCAGCCCGAGGGTGGCATCAACGTGAGAGAAGTATTGTCGAATCTCCTCGTGCCCGGGGAATCTCTCTTTGAAATTGAAGGTTTCCCAGACCTTTGGTAAGCTGAACTGATATGACGGCGTGTCCGAGTCCACCCGGGCTCCGGGATATCTGCTGTAGTGCCAGACGCCTCCGAAGTCGCTTCCGGCCTCGAGGATTTTGGCGGAATATCCGAGCTGTCTCAACTTATAGAGAGCGTAGCAGCCGCTGAAGCCGGCGCCCACGATGACGACATCGAAAGCAAGCATCCCTGTGGACTCCCCTCCGATGTCGTGGTCGGCCATAGCGGTGTGAGAAGGAGCACGGCTTCGAGAGGCGTGAGGTTGCCGCTGTCCGAAGTAATGAGGATTGAAGGTTACGAAAGCGTGCTGGCAGGTTTGTAGACTGGTCGAAATCGAGACATCGAGAAGTAAGTCAACCTGTTTTCTACCTTCCCTCGCCTTGCATTTATCCTCGCCTTTTCTCTGGTCTGGTCCCGAAAGCAGACTTGACCGTATCGCCAAAAGCTTGTGAAATTCACTTGTAGCTCCGCTTCCAAAGCCCCCATGTGCAGACAAGGTGGGGCTGTTGTGAGGGTGCCCTCATCACCGCAACTTCTTGATCACTCGAAAGCGATTTCCATCGAATGAACCAAGGAGTTTCGTATCATCTCGGATCACCTTCTCGATATGTATCTTGAACAGTCACACTAAGCCACCTGTGACATGCAGCGGAGAGAGCCGATATCAACCGATCCGCAAAGCGCAAACCTGCCATGACAGATCCTGACTTTTTTCTTTTTGCACCCATCCGCTAAGGACACAACACTAAGTTGAACACTCGCGCAGCCCGTCCACTGCTAGTTTCTACCGCGTGCATCGAGGCTGGGTTCGACTTCGTTTCTCTCCTGCGTCATGATTCGGCAGTGTTCATAGGCTCTTCGGCTCATGTCACACTCGCCCTGCGTGATGTCGAATTGGCCGAGTTTGTGAGACAACTTGCGTGACCACACACTGTTGACCATTGCAGCTTCCCACAGCTACCAATGCAAGCTCAAGTGACAGAGACATTAGTTGCTGTGAGGCCGAAAGGGATGGAGATGCTTCGGCAGCAGCTGAACAACATACAAGATTGTAGGATCTCCCCGTAGGATTGGAAACTTGGATTCTTCACCTTCCCCCCAAGTCTGCAAGTCTACAATCATGTCTGTTGAAGCCCTTCAGGTCGCTCTCTCTGCGTTGAAAGACACCTACTGGCCTTACATCGTTCGCGCACTTGGGAATCCAGCAACTAGTCTTTTATTTGATTTGATTGACCCAGCCTGTCTTAACCTTCCCACCAGTCTCAAAGAACTTCAACAGCGCACCAAGCAAAATTTCATTCGCTTCCACGCCGTGTACGTTGTAATAATTACCTTCGGTCTCATCGCGAATCATTGGCGCGTGGCTGCTGTTGCGATGTTTCTCTACAAATCAGGCATTTCCCTGACCAGTTCCGGTCGCGCAGACGCTCCTCCAAAGGCTGGGGGTTGCCGGAATGGAAGCCCAAAATACACACATCATTTGATGCGTGGATTGTGGGTTTCAATGAGCTTATGGTCATTGCGAAGCATAATGTCGACCGCACTACAATTCGTGATGGTATGCACAGTGCACGCCGCGTTGCTGGATGCGAAGACGAGACCGCCAGCGAAGCAGTCTTCATGAAACCGATTGTGGGTTCGACGACGCAGACGGCGATCGTTTCTAACAGTCTGTGTCGTAGCCTAAGGTAGCGCCGTCATTGGGTGGTTGGATGAGGGAGGGAATACGATGAAAGCCGCGCTCTGAACAACCTGTGATCGAATTTCCGACTTGTAGAGAGGGCTTGATAGACACCCAACGTGGAAGACATGGCTCTTCTACTCATACGGGGCTCTTTGATGGATCTGCCGTAGCTGGCTTGGAAGACATCTGGTTTCCTTCGCCTGTCTCCATATGGCGAGGACGGCGAGGTAGATACGATTATACTGTCACGCTTATTCCCCTTGTAACTTTGTCCTCCGGATCCGCGGCATGACACTGATTTTTCTTTTTATCTCATACCAAAGCTTCTGCGGCCGTTTTCTCGCTTGGTCAAGGTATCCAATAGGTCAAGCTGGACTCACGCCACCTTCGTCCACTCATCATACATTCCCTTGCCCTTACGTTTCTTGTTGTTACCCAGCCTCTCACAAGCGGCAGCCTAGGTTGGTCGCGAGTCTATGTGGTACCCATGTAGTATTTCAATTTCCGAAGCGTCTCCTGATTTGAAGGCGCTGATCACCCTTTAATCTTCTTCATTAGCGAGCTTCATGCGTACCCATAGTTGTTGGCGCTGTGGTGATACCAAGATTCGACCCTCCCTGACCCAGCCAGACCAGCCGTTCGAGCAACCCTGACGCCACCGGATCCCCAGCATATAAGTAGAGTGAATTATCTAACGGACATGATCCGGTGCTATCCCTCAGGATCCCTACCATATCTTGACTTCTTCGAAGATGACAGAGGTACTCTCGGGGTCGAGGTCCTCATCCCGGTTGGTCGTGGATGGGCCAGATGAATGGCAGCCAGGTCTCTTGTCTTCGGCCTCCATCACACAAGAAATGGAATCGGCAACTCCACCCCAGGTGAGATCTCTCTTCCCAGTCACTCCAACGACAACACTAACGGTAAGCCCATTCAGACAGACCGGCAAGACGACGGATCCGATCCAGGCCTTGATGACGACCAGTGCTCGACTAAGTCAATGACTGACGACGTTCTAAACTACCAATATCTAGTTGACAGAGCTTATCACAGTAGAAGCTTTCGTTCCATTTACTGGTACGCGCAGTCGGGCGACCCAAGTGACTGAAAACTAACGATTTTGTTCAGGGCCCCAAATGACGAACTGCAGAGTGAGGCGATGGGTCTTTGGTCAGGACAGTCAAAATATGTAACTCAGAGGAGCATAACGGCTAACTTATTCTCGTCAGCCACTCCCTGTTTTGCGAGGCTTCTAATGGAAAGCTCTTCCTCGCCGAGCTTCCAGACAACGCTCAGGTATCGTTGCTCCGGATCAAGCCGCTTGGCAAGTGTGCTCATTACTTCACAGAAAATCTTAGATGTTGGGACTGGGACAGGCGCGTGGGCTATGTATGGCCGTATACATCAAAAGCGTTGAGGGAGTAATGCTGACGTTCATGCCTCAGCGAAGTTGGCGAAGCTCATCCACACGCCCTCGTGATTGGAACTGACCTATCACCGATTCAGCCTCAACATGTTCCGCCGAACGTAGAGTTGTCAGTCCAGCTAGCTCTTCGTCATTGCCAATTGGAATTTGTGAAGGCTCCTCCTTGCATAGCAATGCTGACTCCGCCCCCAGCCAGATTGATGACTTCAACGAACCGTGGACATTCAAAGACAATTCGCTTGACTACATCAACATGCGGTTTCTGACTGGATCCGTTCGTGATTGGAAATTCCTAGTGGGGGAAGCCTATCGCTGCCTGAAAGAAGATGGGATTCTGGAAAGTTCGGAGCCATCATTTCTCATCGAGAGCGACGACGGCACGGTGGACCAGACAAGTGCCTAGGATCAGTGGCACGGAGTCTTCGAAGAATACGGGGCCCAGATTGGACAGACGTTCTCTGTGGTACAAGAGGGCATACAAAGACAGGCTCTGGAAGAGGCACACTTCAGTGACATCCGAGAGCTTGACTATAAGGTACGAATTGCATCACTGCCATCAGTGCTTGGAAAGAAGTTTAACGTTTGATCTCAGATACCGATTGGGAAATGGCCAAGAGATCCAGAGCACAGATGGCTAGGACGCTGCGCCCAGTCAGCGATGAAGAAGGACGCCTTAGGGTTTCTTCTGCACCCGTGTACGTCGATTGGGTGGAGTATTGAACGCATCGAAAATTACATTGCCAGCCTAGAAGCGGAGATGGTTTCAGGCATAACGCACCCGTGGTTTGGGTTCAAGAAGGTTTGGGGCCGTAAGGTGCCGCCATCTTCAGTCGTACAGTAGTGTGGGGTTAGAATGGCTGGTCTGGAGGTTCATTTGATACTGTACTATAGTACCGTACGTACAGTATGTATACAGTACATATATATGTAGACGCACTTTTCGGAGCGAGATTGTCTTTTTTCCATTATGAACCATTTAACCAAACAGCTGTTATGCAAGTCGTCAAGAGCCAAATTTGCAGAAGTCTTGGATCAAGTTTGACTACGATCTGGGAACTGCATGGCAATGTGTTGAATGTTACGACCCACGGAGATCTGCAAAGAAAAGAAAAAAAAGAAAGATTGCTTCGTTGATGAGAGAGAAAGGCATTGGCTGCGAGCCAAAGATGGGAAGCCCGTAGAGAACGCTCCACAGAGGCACGACTCGTCTGGCTCGCGAGGATTGAGGAACAGGGATTCAGCAAGCAAGAAGATGATCTCCAGGGTGACAAACTTATTACAGCATAGTGCCGCCGGCAATTGGCAAAGAATTCTTTTCGGGCTTTTAAACCGCAGAAAGATGCGCACAGGCGACGTAGCCCAGAAGGTCGGATTCATGATGTGTTGGGCGGGTTTCAATCACTTTAGACGGAAACGTGTGTAGCAAATTTCTGCTCGACATGAACAAATTCGGACCGGCGCCGTGTTCCATTAATCTACAAGTCGTATTGTCCGCAACCTTTCAGAAGCCTTTTTGTGTATTTAAACCGTCCTCGTCAAGTCCCTTTTCGCCTCATGATGAGCGATTATGCAATACAGACCCATGTCGAGTTCAACGATCCTATCAAGCCCCTGAACCTATAACCTTGGTCGCTGCATTCCTCGCTTTCCTTCACGTCGAACTACCTCTGACACGCAAGAATGGGCACCTCTAGATCAGTCGAGGATTGCCACGCCCTTCGGCAGCTGGGAACGAACCTACTCGGGGCAATTACAGAGTATACGCTCCGCGGCAAGATGAACCTAGCGCAAGAGACTTCACTTCAGTCCAGTATTCTCAAACTGACGAGAGACATCGGCAATCTCGTTGCACAGCCCCAGGAACAGTGGCTGTCGCACAGTATCCAGAGCAATGAGACGGCCGCCATCGAGCTCTTCAATGAGTGGCACGTCTTTCAACACATCCCACTTGAACAACCTATATCCTATATGGAGCTGGGCGAGCATGTTGAGGTCGATGTTCCCCTTCTCAGTAGGTGACACCGTCTAAACCAATTGTCCGTTCCTTGTTGACCTCTTTAGGAAGGATCGCCCGCATGCTCGTTGCCACGGGTGTCCTGACAGAAGCCGGGCCTGATCGAGTTGCGCACACAGCCAGGTCTGCGATCTTCCTTCCCGGGAATC